GTCACCTAAGTTGCGGCGATTTGTTATGTGGCATCGATTCCTTTATATGTAGGGGCATACCCCCTGCAAGGGATCGGCTGGACCCAAAGCCACCATACTGCTGATGAGCCTGCAGAGGCGAAACAGGTCTGTCTAATACTGTATAAGTGTCATACCAAAACTAATAAAAGGTTGGAAACAGTAATCATATCATTAGTTTGTACCAATAGTAGCAAAAAATTTGCAGAACGATAGTGATTCATCATAGCTCCATGAGAAGCTCTTCCGATTGAATTTTTGCCGAGACCAAGAAGTCCACTGTAGTACGGTGAAGACAAGAAATGTTGAATGCGCGAAAAAAAAGGTGATCTAAAAAATCTTCCTATTAGTTTATGGAAACTGGGAGATGTTGTGTTGCTTGATGGATTGCGATTGGAGTCATTTAAATGCAGTTTTAAACAAAGCAGAAATTTGGCGGTTAACCTTTTGATTCTTCCCTTGAAGTATCTTAGCTCAAGGAAGGGAAAGACCACACTGAACATTCGATGTACGGCGAGCAGGCTGCCGTAAATGCTTGACGAGATCCATGTGCCACTCAATATTGAGCCAAAACACTGCAAAGATGTATTGTAGACCGACGATCCTTATACCTAACCAGTAAATCATATTTTAAGTAGTAACCAGTAGCCCCCATCACCAGCAAATCATATTTACTTTGTAAATTAAGCCTCTAGTGCGAGGTATTAATAACAACTACCATTCGACTAATGTTTCAATGCGCTTCGTTTTCTTCGATGCAAATAGTCCGAGTCGATCGCCCACTGTAGTTCTCCCTCGTTGTATCTCGCCTTCGTCTCGCTTGAGTCGGATCCTCGTTTAGTCAAGCATTGCTCGAATGAGGAACGTATCAACAGCTGTCGTTTTCGCGTCCTAGTCTTCCTCGGCACCGATTTGCTCTTACTGGGTCTTTCATTTATTACTGAAACCACTCGCAAGGAGCTCTATATGAGCAAATAATGTGCACATCTGTGTATGGATTTTAAGTGAAGTGGTGCTCTTCACTACACACTACACCGCCCGCCTGTTTTACTTTATGTCCTAGGCACACTATCTACCAGTCGCCTCTTCTGCCATTCAACATCATATCCAGAAGAACAGAAACATTGGCTTGATAGGACGATAAACTACCTCTATTTATTTATATATCAGATATGCATTTATTTACCTTGACGTTTTTTCATAAAACTGAATGCATCTCACGTCTCTGATTGATCAACGCCGAGCTCCTCGTCCTTGTGAATTTTTCTTTTTAGCAACAATGATTGTCGGTGTACGAGATTCTAAAGTGTTACTTAGGCCACTTTCAACGGAGTATTGTTCCTCCGTGCGCTGATAATAGAGCGACTTGAGTGTGCGCTGGAGATGTCCATTCAATAGCATTATCAGTAATGATGGGCGGAATGCAAAACTTCGAACGCTGAACGAAATTCGAATTCGCACTTCACCCTTCCAGAGGCGCGTGCTTCTATTTTCTTCAATGATTGAGCTAACACGAAAAATGTTCATTGGAACTCGTAATGTGCCAGAAGATTCTTTAAGTTGTGTCTGCTGAGGGATTCAAGAACGTACCATGTCTTCTGTATGAGTCTCCTAAAGACCTTCATTGGGAGTTAGTGGTCATCCTGTCGCGCTCTCAATATCTGTTATAACCTAATGGTGAACGGTCTCTATTAACTGATACTCGTGATGAAGTGGAACGAGTGGTGGGACACTCATGGACTGATCAAAACGCACTCTCTGTTGTTCCTATCCTTTTTGCTTAGCAAGAAAAACGAACGTATCTCACTCACAATGTTCAATAAATATGGCATTTCCCAATCCAGCATCAACGACACGCCGCTGAATACATGTATTAGAAGCTGCGCGATGTCGCAAGCTGATATGTAGAAACATAATTTGGTACGACGTCCACACTGAGAATTTCTCGTGAAGCCGAATTGCCTTGGACAGTGTACTGATTAAGTTACATGTGTAATAGGCACGATACAAAAATTATGAGAAATTTTACAATGGTAACAGCATCGGATACTGTCAGAATCAGTTATAGAGATAAGTAGGAAAACTTACGACAGCAACAACGACGCTTAGCGTCAGAAACAATGTCGCGAGCACGGTATTTGCGAAACCGTACCAGAACGGCGGATAGTACGTATAGTTAATCTTGTCGCCAAATTTCTCACCTTCCATCTATAAATTGTTCTCTTTTGTTTGTTGCAACAGAAACTACAGGCATTAATTTGAGATCCACACTTTTCTTGCTTGATATTAGCATAAAAAACGAACCGTGCGAATATATATTCCATTAATCAAACAAGACAATGGAAACGGAGCTGGATAGCATGCTATGAATGTTTGATGTGATGTTGTTGATAATAAATCAAAAATGGCTAATAAGTCGGAAGATCATTGACAATAGGAGCTTATTGCTACAGTTCCTGTCGGAGAATGCTCCAAATCTCATAGTTCGCTAGAAGAGTGACAACACAACAAGTGCACCGGTAATGAAGTCGTTAGCACATGTGCCTCGGGAAAGGTGAGACACAGGCTCATTTACTGCCCAAAGTTCAAACTTTGCGTATCCCTTAACGATAGCAAACAGATACATAATGATCATTCAGCATTGGAAATTGCAAGGACATGAATTCTAAGATATACTGAGTGTATGAAGTTGGAGGCAGCATGCAGCGCTCATTACTGTGGTCGGCACTTCCACTGCGTAGGTGGCACTGTCAAATAATTCGGTAGACCATATTTTTTAGTTTATATGTAACACTCTCTGCGGAGACAAGCGTCTCTTCGTGACCTAAGGACTTTCGGCTTTTTTAGCGCCAACGTGAAGATATTCAACGAGTCGATCGTATTCTTCGTCGATGTTGTCGACAACGGTATCTTCCCAAGAGCCGACTAATGATTTGAATACGTCCCAGTTTATAGTAGTTCTGGGACTTCGGTGTTTGAATTTAGCGGCTTTCTCTCCTCTCCTCGAAAATCGGAACGTTGCGCGAAGGAGGCGATGGTCTGATCCCGTGTAGAACTTGGGAACAACAGCGACGTCGGTCAGGCAAAACCTTCGATTTACTATGATGTGATCTATTTCGTTATGGTACTCTCCATTGGGAGACTCCCACGTCCATCGCTGAGAGAGAGGCTTTTGGAATTGCGAGTTACCATGGATGGTTTGGGTCGTCATGATAAACTCGGATAGCCTCTCACCCTGTTCATTCCATTCTAGTCCGTGGGTCCCTATGTGACGTTCTTCAGACGTTCTTCTAGGTCCAATTTTTGCGTTAAAATCTCCGACAATGACCTTGAAGAATGTATGATCTTCTCTGAAGAATTCTTCGAGGTCCATATAGAACGCTTCGACTTCGTCTTCGTCATAGCTTGATGTTGGTGCGTAAGCAACGAAGATGGTCAAAGCCGGCATAGAACCACATCGTTTCAACCGTAATCGTCCGATGCGGGTTGTTAGTTGTTCGAACGAATCAATGTTCACGGTCAAATTCGATTTGACGAAGACGCCAACGCCACCGACACCTCTGCGATCGCATGTTCCAAGGAACAGTTCTTCTCCGGTGTCATAGACAGCGTGAAAAGGATGGCGCCTTCTCGTCTCAGCCAGGCCAATGACGTCGTACCTTATTCTTCTTGCTTGAATCAACAGATCTTCTACAGCGGATTGTTGAGCAAGGGTTCTTGCATTGTAGGTACAGATTGTCATTTTAGTCCGTTTCGATCTTGGCAGCCTAGTTCGGCCCTGAGATTTTAGCAGCCTCTCCGTACTCGTCCTACCTGGCGCTGCCGTACCAGGGGCTCTTTCGGGGTCAGGGGGAATGAGGCCCATATTTGTTACTGTTTTTGGCATTTTTTGATACCCAACGTGTAGCTTGCCAGGCTCTAAACGTGGGGGCTGGTTACTCACGAGTAGCTTGCCAGTCTCTCTCGGAGGAGCGGGAGGAGCTTATTTGTTGGAGGCGACTCCTAACCGCCTCCCATGTACTTCCCAGCCGCTTGATTGCAGGCTTTTGGCCGACTTGACTCGTAAAAATAGAGTTTTGTCAAGTCGGCACTGCAGAAGCAGGGAGCTCGTCCCCTGAATCCACCTGCGTCTCTGGGAAGCACACGGTCGCTTTTGGTTCGCGTTTTATTCCCCTATCCACCACCTGGGGACGCGCCACGTGCCCTCGCGACTAACCGGGCGGGATCCCTCAAAGAGGGAGGTCCGTGGCGCTCTAAAGGAAGATTACTGACCCGTTGGTCCGATTTCTTCACGAAAGCGATGGAAGAAAGATATGATGCTCAGCGAATTCCTGAAGCAAGGAGGACCCACTGGGCTACTCTTGCACGCGATAGGGAAAAATGGAAGAGTTGCTGGTACCCGCTCGAGTCACTCAACGATCAACGGGACGACAGGTGATACAGGTGATGTAACACTCTCAGGAAGTTAACATTAGATCGTAGTCAGAAGATTTTGACTGGCTGTCGAACCGCAATCCAAGAGTGGAAATCACTCACTCCCCTCTGAGTAAACAAGGAACAGCATGCCGAAGAGGAATGTGACATTTCAATCCTAAATTATAGCGAAATTATAGTATTTTTACTGCTTATTTCGCAGTGTTATGATGTTATTTTTATAACTTAGGGAATTGAGCGGTGAGCAAAAACACGGCCTCAAGCGGGAATTGAACCCGCGTTTCATCCTATCCGGGACTCGTGCTCTAACCACTACACCACCGAGGCACATTTGCCCGACCACTCAGTTCTCTAAGTTATATAAATAACATCATAACACTGCGAAATAGGCAGTAGAAATACTATAATTTCGAAGTATTACGCATAACAATAGCTGTCAGCTCAACGGGATTTATAATGCGAAATCGCATATCCGACCAAACCTATTAAAGGGTTGGTGGCTGATAGCTAACATAGAGATGTTGAAGAATGAGTGAGCTGGCAAATGTGCCTCAGTGGCGTAGTGGCTAGAGCACGCGTCCCCGCATAGGATGAAACGCAGGTTCGATTCCCGCCTCAGGCCGTGTTTTTGCTCACCACTCAATTCTCTAAATTACAGCGATAGATAGGTTAACGCCAGTGCCATCGTGTACATAATTATATAGCCAGTGATCATTAGCTGCACAAGCGTTCCTTTCCAGACGCAGAAAGTAAGGTTAGTTCAACAAGTTATTATGAACCAACTAGAAATTGTAATTAGAAGGCTTGCAGGATTATTTGTGCTACTTGAAAAATTAACCTTCAAGTAAGTTTTTGTCTGCCCACTTTCTTAACTCCTCATAGATGCCCATATACTTCGCCTATTTTTTTGCTTCTCTGAATTTACCTCTGTAAACGCTCTACTTTATCGGCCTTTGTACTAAGTACAAAAGACGAATATTATCGACATATGGGCTGCAATGCTTACATTAGTACATTGATGTGAGCTCTCCTTGTGAAGTTATTGTAGTCAATACAAAAGCTTCATCATTATAGTTACTTATACTTATTGATAATCTAGCCATAATAGCATTATAGGTAGATCAAGTTGCCTTCCGTTGTACATTATTGATGAATTAGTTTCCGTAACGTTAAAGGCAAAATATTATGTGAATATATATATATATATATATATATATATATATATATATATATATATATATATACATTGATGTAGAGCGATGTGCAGAACTTTCGCGTCGGGCGGGACTAGAACCCGCACCTCACTCTCTCCGGGAACGCTTGCTCTATCCATTATACTACTGGCGCCCATTATGCCCATCGCTCTACATCAGTGTATATGTATTTATAACATCATACCACCGCTATAAGCGGTTAAATAAAAAGTATGTTATTATGTGATTATTTGTGTTAATATAGGAAAATTCAACAAAAAAAGAATCCAATTATGGTGTCATTCTTGAAAAGTTTTTGCTATAAAGACTGCCGTTAGACAAACACCAGACATCGACGAAATTAATGTTTACCGTAGGAAGAACAACATTCGTTCATCACGACTGTGCAGTTCTCTACTGATATTGGGAAAACGTAGCTCTTGACAAAACTAGTTCGGTGTTGGATAGGCAATGAAATTTCTTCAAATATTTTTAGAAGCAGACGATATAACGTTCATCAAGAGATGCTCCATTTCGTAGACTATCTCGAACCCACAAAATCTACGTGATGCCTCTACCAGGAGGTGGTTATGCACTAGCGTTAAATTTCAACTGTTACGTCAAGGAACATCAGTTTCTCATAGTTTAATTTAACTTACACGAGGTAACTCAGAATCAATGCAGGATCTGCAATTTATCAATTTTCTAAATTTACCTTTCTATCCGTCGTGTTTTTCAACAGTACTCGGAGGCTATAAAAAATCACCTGTCGGCAGGATCAATTGAGGTAGCAAACTTGAATCGCAGTTGAGCAAGAATCAATTATAACTCAGAATCCAAGTTCAGATTCTTGTATCTCAGCACTAGCGGCCACATAATACTTTGCCATTAACAAGGGAATAGGTAGAGAGTGAAATTAAAAACGATTCTCTGCATACTGCAGCATATTTCATTTTCTAACAAAGTGATAGCAAGGCTTATTTTATGGACTTCGTTCCGATTAGTCAAGTTATAATACGCGCCGTATTTCTGGTAAATTTCAAAGGTTTGAATTTTGGATATTGCAGTAGCGATCTAGGCATTTAAATTTCTACGTAATCAAATTTGCACTTAGTGGAACGTAAATGGCTTGAAATACAAACAAAGTATATGACAAACGAACTATTGCCCAACATATTATGCAACATTGGTTCTAGATTTTTCGCTGTTGAAAAAGAGACCTTCCAATGTGGAGGGTTACTGAAATTTTTCTATGACTGGCGACGATCAATTAGAGATTTCGCTCGGATAGAAGCACATGCAAATTTTTAGAGAATTTGTGAAGGGATTGTGGGCTTCTTTGAGAAGATTGGGAATTCGCATCATCGCGACAAATGGAAAAATCAAAGGCGAAGCAAATATGGAACTGTTCGAGAATTTGTGTGGAAAAATTGATGAAAGTCACAGCCGTTTTGAAACATCTTGAAAAGGATTCCGAACGTCAAAGAAGTTGCAGGAATAGATGCCTAAGGATATGGCAGCACAGCTCACTACTACACGGCGCGGTCACACATGAACGACCGTCGCTAACCAAAGCTTTGCAGAGTTTTCAGCTTGATAAACCTCAAAGGACTTTGTTCTATCGCTCTAATTAAGAGTAAAATTTTCCAGCACGTAAGTTTTATGTAAGTACATCAAAATTCAGAAAAACAAATAGCTCTAGATTATGATGATTTCAACTTTGATTGACAATGTTCACTGTGAGGTAATATGTGCTTCAAAAAAACGTCTATTATCGTTGCACTGGAGATGTGGCTACCTCGACACCGTCGATCACTCATTTTGTTAAAGAGACTAGTGACCTGAAATAATGAGACGAAGTGTTGGAAGTTATACGACTGTTGCTACATTGAACTTGGCAGCTGTACGATCAAAAAAAAAAAAAAACTCTGCGACTAATTAGAAGAGTTAAAAATAGAAGATGTCGCTGTGGAAGTTCAATTTTTTGAACTTTGCTACTACGTACATGCCAACCATATGAAACTATTTCGAAGATATTTTTGAGATTAAATTGCGAGTTTGATTTGAGAAATTCTGATTACAGGTAAGATGTGAGGGTTGCATGGAGGAACTGCAAGCACGTGTTGTTTAGAGAACAAACCACACCGCAGAAATAGACTCAGTGATTTATCATCCTATTGATGCGAGAAACTGTTTCGAATATTCAAGTTCTCTAATTAAGCAGAGGTAATTCTATGTCTATTCATTCTATGTCTACCCTCTTTAAGTTGCATACCTCCCATAGCAGTTAACTTGTCGCAGCATAATGATCTCATTCAAAGAGATTTCTTGCAATTTGTTCAGTATAGAAAACACTTATTCGTGAACCATTCCCTTGTAGCGCAATTTTATTTCAATTTGGTCATTATCTATTAATCACATAATATTTCCTAAATAAGCGAAAGAAGTTGATGAAGGACTTTGTTCAGCTGACGCTTCGATGTGTTCTTCAGAGCGATTTAACCAAGCCGATGCTCCGCAGTCTTTCGTCCTCGTTGTGGTCTTCGTTGTCATTTAAGTCTGATTATCATCTAAGGAGCACTAGTCAAACATAGCCTCACTGAAAGAGGGAAAAGAGAAGCTCTGCCTGAATTTCAGCAGTAGATGTGCATTTCAGAAACAGATAACTCTGTAAACCACAGAAGAAACCGACACGACATGGCTAATGGGTCGTGATGTGTATATTCTGACACTCTCGAGTCCACGTCCAAAACAGGTTTTTTTTGCGTAGCCGACGGTGCCTAATTTCGCTATTATCACCACGACTCTTATGAATATCTCACCGGACACTTCTTTACCCTTCGCGTAGTCCTGTCATCGTTGTGGCTTCCACTCTGTGAAGTGGGTTTTTCTGCCTTAAATCTCGCGACCGACATCTCTTGCCCATCACATGGATTGATATCGTCAGTATCTGTGTTGAGCATATTCAAGGCCTTTAGTTGTAATTATGCAATAACATAATAACTTTGCATTTGAATATATTTGGGAACCTCCATTAACACAATGTATAATCTGATATCATATTTTGAGCCTTTTAAGAGACGTCGATTCCTTTAAAGGATTATTTAACCTCAAGGGATCGACGGAACCGAGGGAGGGTACTACTGATGAGTCCCAATAGGACGAAATAGGCGCCTATATAGCACTATACCTATGGCTCAAAATATGTCATATCCTTATCAGATTAAATCCTTTTAAGAGATTTGATTATGACACATATAATGCTGACTTGCGTTTCCGCCTTTTGGCCGCATTAGTGGCATTGACGACGAACATCTTACACAGTACGTAAGTGGAAGGATCACTCGAAGTAAGGTGATAACAATTTACTACATGTTGGATATGATCAAACGATATTACAGTAAAAATCGGTCGGTTGTTCATGGCTGGTAAACTGAATAATATCTCTACATTTGACTGCTTTTTGCGATCTCGCCTGAAATGATATATGACCTGATCATGCATGTAATAATAACATATTTCAATAATACATTGGCTGCCGTTTCAGCAGTACCGCCTTCATCAAATTTTGACTGAAAGCCACCCAGCCAAACCCTTTCATGGCCAAAGCAAATAAAAACCTATTAAGTAAGCTCATAGTAAAGACTTCTCATTGAGCACTGGTCAACTCTCATCAAATACTTAACGGTTTTTTCATAGAACTGCTCTTATAGACCTTGTTTAAAAATAATAATTATCGAGTACATTAATATCTTCGAGTCTGTTGCGAAGTATGGTGTGGCACTTATACAGCACTAGTCAGGCCCATTTCACCTTTCCAAGATCATCAGTAACAAGGTGCCCTTCACTGTAGCAAATTCTCAGGGGTTTTTTTCCCTGCATATAGAGGGATTGACGCCGAATAACAAATTACCACAAGTCAGGTGATGGAATCCCCGGCGTTTGATTAGCTCGAACTCGTGGCTGGTAAAACGAATCATACCTCCACATAGACTGCTTTTATAAACTTCGCTCAAAAACAGTAATAATCTAGTAATCACATTACATGTTTCAAGCTTTTTGTGAGGTCTGATAGGGCAGTCCAGTGTTAGACGGGTCCATATTGCCCCTCAGGCTCACCAGTAGTTGTTTTGAACCCTTTGTGAGGTCTGACAAAGTAAAGCATGTTATGTGATCATCAGATTATTGTTGTTCTCAAGCGATACCGGAGAAGAGCAGTCGAATGAAGAGGTATGATTTATTTTGGCGGCCAGGCTCGATTGAACCGAATCTTCTATGAGGCTTGGTATGGCAGTTATATAGTACTAGACAGGCCTGTTTCGCCTTTGTAGGCTCATCAGTGGCAAAGTGTCCTTCGGTGTAGCCGATCCCAGTTGGATATACCTCTACATATAAAGGATTCTACACCGAATAACAAATCACCGCAAGT